GACATACAGCAATGTGTCTTGTATTGATGTTGGAGATGGTAGTTTGTAGTTTTGATTGTTGAAGCAAAGGTCTGATTTTGCAAAGTAGATATTTTGAAATTTTGAAACATTTTTGTAATAAATATGTTCCTGAGCTTGTATTTAGTAATTAGTAGTATTCTGGCAGATTTGGAAGAATATGCCTGCTTTGGTAAGATATGGGAATCAGTAATAGCTGTTGGCATAGGAGACCACAGGTCCCATGTAGAAGTATCAGAACTTTATTTTTTTAACACATTTGACTTTCTAGATTCTTACAGATGTCAGCTCTGTTAATTCTAGAATACTGTTTTATCTATGTAATTTGTAAATTGTCTAAAAAAAGTGATAGTACCCTTGAGTACAGAAAAGTCAAACTGATAAATTGATTTTTTTACATCTCTATTAAATAATTTACTTAGATAATAAATCGGATAGGAAGGCTAACAGTGTCAGTGGTTTAGGACTTATATAAATATTCTGACATTTGATTTGGGATGTTTGGCTGATTATATGGAGCTATAGCACTGCTTAGAGAAAGTCCCAAGGAAAAAGATAATTTCTATTTAATTTCTAGGTCATCTCGATTATTTTTACTGAACTATATTTTTATGTTGAAATGAGAAATTGTAAAATATGTTTTTCTCTTTTATAAGGGGAACGGCCATTTCAGTGTACACTATGTGAAAAGGCTTTTAACCAGAAGAGCGCTCTTCAAGTCCATATGAAAAAGCACACAGGAGAGAGGCCTTATAAATGTGATTATTGTGCAATGGGATTTACACAGAAAAGCAATATGAAACTGCATATGAAACGGGCTCATGGTTACACTGGTATGTAGTGTAATGATAGTGATGATGAGTGCAGAACACCATGTGCTTTACTAGGAAAGCACAAAACACTTCCCTTAAGTTATTGAGGAAGTAGGCAGTAATAGCCAAAGACCGGCGTTGATGAGCTGGTAGTTGCACACACAATCCAAAAAGCGGGTTGAAACAGACATTGGTTGCTGCTTACAGTTCCTTGTTTTTTATGTGGAGCTCTGTAGTTCAGAAATACAAAGTTCAAAAACTATTACAGGAAAAGAATCAATTATATTTCATAAATATTTTTTAATTTTTCAAAGAGCATCTAATCAATTTACAGAATCTGAAGTAGTTGTGTAACCTTTCCCAGCATGATTCCTTTATTCCCAGTATTTGCATTTTTCTTACACTGTGCGTCAAAGCATACTAACTTGTCTTTTCTCTTATACTTTGTTAGGTCCTGTACAAGAGCCTGCTAGTCATCAAGAACAAGAAGGGGAAGATATTAGTCGTGCTCTGAATTTAGAAGAAGTGGTACAAGAATCTTCAAATGAATGGCAAAGTATAGGCAGTGTTTTTCGATGACACCTTAAAATTTGAAAACTAAAAATGTTTCTGGGACTCGAATTTCTCTAAACAAGTTTTCAGAAAAGTGAAAGATGGATTTTACACTTAAAGCTTCAAGCATTGAAAATACTAACAATAGAATAATGTATTATAGTTTTTTTAATTATTGACAAAAATTACCTAAAAGATTCATTCTTTTTTTAAGCTTGTAAAGAATATTGGGAAAACATCATTTAATCTCTGCTAAGTTGTTTGTGAATCAATGAACTCAGGTAATACTGTATACAGTTACATCTTCTAATTCACAGACGGTATATCTATTTGAAAAATAAACTGGAACTTTATATCAGAATAGAATGATTCCCATTTTTAAAGGAGGTGAAGAATTTGTGGGAAAACCATGAAACTGTCGGTCACCTTTCTTTTTTACGTGTTTAAAGAAATAATTGAGGTTGGAAACAAAATGTTAGAGTAGGTGCATGCAGTATATTTATTTTTTTACAAGGCAAAGGAAAATGCTGTATTTCTGTTTTAAGCTTTTTTTAGTACGTTTTGAGAATTCATTGCAAAAAAATAAAATGCCATGATCTTATTGGTTTTCTTGAGTTAAACTCTTGAGAGGGAGCATGTTCATTTCCATTCCAGCCATAGAGGCAGTTAGTTTATATCTTTTACATTAAAAGTCTGAGGTTTTAAACTCAGCAATAATTATTTAAACAGAATCCAGACTAGAAGAGTTTCCAATGAAAGCCTCTTCTTTCACGTTTGCTGTATTGGATCAGCAGGTACATATCTCAGTATCTGTGGAAAACACAGCCATATACTAAATCTGGGAAGTAAAGATACAACTTTGTGTTAGCAGTGAGGAACTTAGATGCACACTAGGTCACCTATATTATACCATATTCCCCAGTACTGTGAACAGTTATAATTTCAAAACTGTAAATTCTTCATTATTTTCTTTGTGAATTTTGGAAAGATGTTACTTTTATTTGTTATTGTTTAAGTCATTGTTTCACCAAAACTACCTAGTTGACTAAGTAATGCTTTGAAAGGTGCCACTTGTTAAGTATATTCATAACAAAGAAACACTGGAGTAAGAACATAGTCATCTTTTAGACATTCCAAAGACAGAAGCTTTTTTCTTATTTTGACCTTGTTATTTTGATTTTTATTTATATGTTACGTATATATAGAGATATATATATATATATGTGAGCTTGTATGTGTGTGTATATATATATTTAAAGTTATATGAGCCTCTGTGTGGCTGATTGGTATATTTTGTAAATACTAATCCCAGGAAGTTCATCTTTTTGGTTTGCCGCAAGTACTTCTAGATCAGTGGTGGATTTGTTGTAATATAAGACAGAGCTGGATTTTGATTTAACTTCTGAAAGATAATTGCTCTCAGATCCAAAAATCCCTTTTCTGTAAATATTGTCTATACTTTGTCTATGATACAAACTAGTTATTTCAGATTGCTGAAGCAAGAAATCACTGTTGGTTTTGATAGGGCATCTCTTAATTATTTTGTTAACTCTTTGGCATATGTATATAAGTAATATAGTTGGTGACATGAAAATAACACTTTTGTTATGTGGAATATTTAATTCAAAAACATGTTAAATAATATTACTTTTTTCTAAATCCTGTTTCATGTATTTTTTAAGCATTTGATTCTGGGTTCTAGGAAATTCAGAAGCTCTGTTGACCAGAAGTACATGTCTCAGTAATGTATTTAGAGAATATATGTGAAGTTCTTCCATCAGTGCCTTTCCTTCCAGACAGCCTGTTAGTGTTTCAGCTGTTTAAGAAAGACATTATATTTTACAGTTGTCTGAAAGCATACTGGCCCCATGGCATAATACCCTGTTTACCTGTAATAATAGAGTAAAATGTGCTGTGTTGCATGTACCACGTATAAAACCTTTTCCCTGTTCTTTCAGAGAATACTGTATAAATGCATAGCAGTTTGCTGGAGTCGATTTGCTGTGTAGGGGCTGACACTTTACAGAGGTTGCGAGATACAGTTTGACAGATGATTTACAGCTGGTCACATCGAAATGCAAATCCATCCTTCATAATGGGAACGTGATTCCTGAATGGTTGAAGGTGTGCAGTCTGCTCTAGCCGTGGTTGCTTTGCCAGCATATAAAAACTGGTAGTGGTTGACACCAGGTGAGCATGTGGTGAAAGCAGATCTCATGAGTAAAAAGATGCAGTTTTTAAACAGTCACTTCTTAAAGTGTTATGTCTTGATTAGAGGCAATGAGTGTGTGGTGTAAGTCTTGGAAGTGTTAAACAAACAGCGCAAGTTACGGAGTTGCCTGACATTTTTCCTGAATTCAGTTTGCTGCTCCTCTAGCACTTGCAGTCCTGTCAGTTACAGTAAGTAGACTTTTAGAAAACTTTTTTGTAACATGGTATTTGATCTGCTTCCCTGTATCTTCCTCCCCTGTGAACTTCAAGAATTCACTCTTGAGTATCCTGACAGAGGTTTTGATGGCCCAGGTTCCTTGGCAAGATTGAGTCAGAGGTTTTCAAGCCAATGTATCTGTTGATGTTCAGTACAAATACAGACACTGTAACCAGTATGTTGGTATTTTGAAAAGTGGTGCTGAAGTAGATGTATTTTTTAGGAAGCAGAAAGAACTCTTGTTCTAAGACCAGTTTGAAGAGTCAGATTGTGTAGTATGTGAATAGTGCTTAGGAATGCCTCTCTTCTTGGTTTGATACACTAGCCTCAGGCCTTTTGGGTTGTGTCTGCTCAGGTCTTTCTTTTGGTTCATGTCCATTCCTTCAGTAAAAGAAATGACACAGTCGTGGTACTGGCTGTCCATTCTTATTTCAGGAAAAAATCCTTTGCTTAGTAGTCAAATAGCCATTTAAACCACTGTTTTTCAGTAAAACTACTAGTGAGTAATTACAAGAATAAATTTCAGTCCAAGTTTTAATCTCTTTCAAGAGGCTTGTGTTGGTAAAATAATGTAGTTAAAGTACCCTACCTTTCCTTCTGTAGGAAATAAATTTTAAAAAGCCACATCCAGCCTCTGAAAAAGATGACTGAGAGGAAGACAGAGCGATGAAGGCAAGGAACTAGCTCTGGATAAGTTCTGTAGTTCTACAGTGTAGTATTTTGAAAGATGTATTTCTCAATTATTTTTTTTAACCTTAAATATTCTTTCCCCTTTTTGAAGCCTGCTATAAAAAACAACCTGATTTTCACATCCCCTGTTCAAAGAAGGTGCTTTGTGCTGTACTTGTTTATGAAGAGCAGGATTTTATTGCCCGTACATAGGCATTGTTATGCTTTAAAATATCCTGCTAGTCTTTAGCTGCCCCTTTGGAGACACTGATTTCCCATAAATCCTGTGTCATATTGTCAGCCTTGTGGGCCATGTTAAGGCACCAGCAATGTCATTAGAAGCCTGTGCGTGGGCAGCTGGGTCCTGGATGCAAGTGTTATTTTCTGGTATCTGAACATTATTCATAACTTAAAAAAAAAAAAAAAAAAAAAAAACCCCACACAAACAAAAAAACAACAACAACCACCCAGAACCTTATTTATACAATCTTCTCTGTTGTAAAAGACAAAACTGGCTCAAGTTTCATTTCAAGTTGATTACTTTATTTCAATAATATTTTTAAAAGCTGTGTTCCTCTAAGAACAATATGTGTTCAAATAAAATCAACTATTATGTTGCAGAGTATACATCTGAATGAAGCTACAGTAGAAAAATACACATAGCAACCAGTGTAGGTAATAGAAGATGTAATACGTGTGTGTATGCTTAATAATTTTGGCGGTTTTGTTTTCTTTAGTTTCTATGCATTTTTTGTCCTCTCATCTTTCATTGCTTCCTATTAATGGACACTGATTTAAACCTACAATAATAGATTTAGATGTGAAATGCGATTAACATACATATTTTAGGTAAATTTTACTGGGCACTTATTAGGAATTCAGCTTCAACCTGGGAAGCATTAACTGTAGTCTACAATGCAAAGGCTAAAACTAAAAAAAATACAATAATTAATCAGACACTTAGATGATAGCTTGAAGAAATGGTAAGTTTAAGTAATAAAACAGTGCAATTCAGAAGAGCTTTTTATTTCCCTAAGTGTGGTTGGAAATGCCATTGCCACACATTCGTTTTAGTAATTTGTGAACAATTAATATCTAAATCTAACTCAGCTATAATTGATTTCTATAAGGCAACTACAGTACAACAGTTAAATGTTCACAGTAGTTTGCTATGAGTTTGTTTTGGTGCACTGCCTTTAATAGGCATCCAGATGTTACGCAGGCAAAAGATGAGCCTGCCAAATATAACACTGCTGCAGTACCAAGAGGAAGATTTGAAATTCTAATGTGAGATGTGCAGAACTATCCGAGATACCAGTACTGAAGGGCTCTCTTTCAGAAATTAGACTTATTTGTTCATGTATTTATTTACTTATTTATTGTACTGCAAAGTTAATGCTGTTGCAGCAGAGTTTCTGTGAAGCACCACTGACGTCCAGTGGTCACTTATGCAATCTTAGATGTTTCTTCTCTGGGAATATCCCTTGTTTCTAACATTAGTCTAACTCAAATTTTAAATCCTCTTTCTCTCCCTCATCTGCTCTTAATTCTGATGGTTTGGATGCGATGAGCAATTCATGGTATGGAAAGAATTTCCTTATTATTATTGCTCTGCATCGTACTGATTCCACAACATCTGCCCCCTCCCACACTTCACATACCTTGAACTCCCAATGTTTGGTAAACCTTTCCATGACTGCCTAATCCTGTTATGAAAATAAATTATTCTGTGAGTGAGAGAAGGAAGATTAAAACAAAACAAAACCAAATCAAAAAAAGTATTTGGATAAACAGTCCTTACAACTTCTGCACATGGTGGATTTTTTTTTTTTAAACAGCAGTGTCTCAGAAATTCATTAACAGCAGTGCTCAGTATCCAAGACATTAGCTCTTTATTTGTAATGCTGATGTTCATTCACTAAAACAATACCAGAAGACTTGAGCTCAAATTAGGTGCCTGGGAGAAATAATGAAGTCCAGCATACAGTTAGGGCATCCTGAAGAAGAACGAGTAAAGTCAGAGATTTTATTACTTCACATAAAATAAGGAAAACATCTACTAAAGGTATTTTTTATGTTCCTTTCATTCAACTGTTGGTCAGGGATTGCCAATAGAAGTTTGTATAATCTACTGCATGCAGAACCTAATTGGCATTAAGTAATGGATTGCATCTACCTAGGTAATTGTTGCAGTTGTTATTAATTTTAAGGCAGTTACATTATGAAGCAGAGTACATGATCCTTGGATGGCATCTTAGAGCTTCAGCGCCTAGCAACTGGTGAACCAGATCGCGATCCAGGTCGGGACCCAGAGCCTCCCTGTGGAGGGAAGAACAGAGTTAAGTTAATTAAAAGGTACTGTAAATTCTCATCTTTCAGTGCTCCCTCCCTTAGTTTTACTAAACTGTTTCTAGGAAAATTTAATGTAATCCATTAGGCAATTGGCTTTTTTTCTTTCAAAGTTATCTTCAAGAATGGATAACTTTTTCATTGTAAAAATATTTTTATTGTTTTTATTGTAAAAGTCCATAAAATTATATAAAGAAATAGTTATTAATGCCTCCTGCTATAATCAATGATTCTAAATCAAATGGGCACGAATAGTATACTAGGTGATGTGTTACTTGTGAATGCTTCACTACCTTTGAGGAAAAATACAGTCCTAGTTAACGTAGCTGCCAGTGGATATGATATGCTTTTTGTGTGTCTTTTTCCTGACATAGAACATGAAAAATCCTCACAACTGACTTTTTTTTCCTGTTCTGTGTGGTGGGGCTGTGCGGTGACTCAAAACTGTGAAATGAACCAGATTAAAGATAACCTGACCAAATGTTTATTTTTCACATGATAAGCGGGGACTGTTCGAGTTGTTACTGCATCTCAATCAAATACTTGTCCAGCATGGCCCTGTACTACCCTTCTGCAGCTTATCCTTTTGCTTTCATTTTCACTGTTCTGAATTTAGCAGCAGCAAGTGTGTCACCTCGTTCGTCTTCTGTGTTCCAGGTCATTTCTGAGTCAGGAACAACATAGATCCTGGTGCAGATCTTTGTGGGACTTTGTGGACTTAGTTTCCTGATAGTAACTGACTGTGTATTTTTGTTTCCTATCATGTAAGTAGTTACTAGGCCATGAGATAACCTTCTGGTTTATCACTGAAAATCTAGTTCCTTGAGAAGCTTTGAGGAAATGTGGCTGTTTCAAGCATGGAAGGTTCTGGAGAGGTTTGGCTTCTCTCTTTCCTGGACTCAATTTTTTTTTTTTTTTTTAATTTAGGGTAGGTTCAATGGTACTTTACCAGTTTAAAGATTTTGGAAAGAGGGCCCTGGCCCTCATGATAGGATCCCTTATGTCCCTTGTGAGCAGATTTATGCTCATAGAATTTTCCGCTTCCTCCATATCCTGGCTTGTGTCCTTCACCACCCTGCAAAGAAAGATTTTCATATATATTGCAAATTATCGCATTCAAATTATCATTTCCACATTGTAATCTTTTTGTGATCACCGAAATGTAATACTTAAATGAGAAGTTTAGAGGTATTGGAATGAAATAGTCTTTTGTGTAATAAACAAGGATGAAGGAAAATGTTAAGAAATTCTCAGAATATGCACAAATCTGAGGGAAGCACCAATCTGTAAAAGATTAATAATCAAAAAATGGACACTCAGAAAGTTAACCTGCATGACAAAACTTAAAATGTTTCCATTTAATGAGTTCTAAGATGTCAAACATGTCAATTAATTTGTATTCTTCTGATAGTGAAAAAATACTTAATGGCTTTTAGGCTTTAATATTTTGTCTTAAAATGCAAGTAATTTACATGTCCATCTCATACAAAATCAAACCTGTGGTAGAGAAGTAGAGTTTAATTAGTTGTGAGGTAACTGTGGGAAGAACTTGCCTAATAACTGTAGGCAGATCACTTCTTACTGAAAGGGATTGCAAGGAAGGGCGAGACAAAATACTTGAATTAGTGACAGTGTTAACTGTGCAGACTTCACTGTGTAAGAGCAGTTGGAACTGTGGAATAAGTGCCCATCTCATCCCAGCCCTCCCTCCTGTTTTTATCCTTCCCAGGAAAATAAAAATGCAGCAGAGTCTTCCAGGAGTCTTTAAGGGAAGAGAGCTTTGCCATGCAGTGGATTTTGCGCCCTTTGCACTAAAGCAAAAGAAATTATCATTGCGAGGCTGTCAAGTTGCTGGATAAGAGCAAGCAACAAAATTACCATCTTTAAGTGCTGTGGGAGGAGAGAGGAAAGTGGAACGGGAAAAGCAAAATAGCAAAATTAAGACAAAACAAAATTATCACGTTTCTGTGGCAGGTTGAGGCAATGGAGCAAGATATGCTTTGGCCTGGTAAATAAAACGGCTGTTATTGAAAGCACGTTCGTCACCTACCCAGCTAAATCTGGTGAGGGATAATCCTCTTCCCTGTATGTGCAACAAATAGAAACAATGACATGGTGACCACTATGGAACATAGCATCTGGATGTACCATACACAGCAGAAGATGAAAATGCGGTAAAAATAATGAAATACTGGCCAAGTAATGAGGCAGGAATTGAAAATGACAATCTGTACAGTCATTCCATGAACCAAAAGAGGCAAAATTCTTTAATTACAAGAACTGACTTCACTAGCCATGGTTTGTCAGTATTATGTACTTCGGAAGCCAGCTGAGCTTAGTAAATATAAGCACAGTTCCTGGTGGGTGATGCTTGTTTGAAAGCATTACCTAGTATTAGTTTACTACATAAAGCAATCGCAACTTGAATATAAAAATCCCTGCGAGTGGCTTTAATTAGTCATGCAGCCAGTCAGGAGGTGCATGAGGAAGAGAACCATGGCTTTTCTGTCTTAGTCCCTTGCTTTACATATTCCCAGTGTTAACTACAGATTTTTACTTAGTGCCATTAAAGAAAACGCATCACGCTAGCAGCTGAATTGGTATAAATTAGTCCACAAAAGATCTTAGGCATTGCTTGAGCCCGTGAAAACGCTTACCTTTGCTTGCATTGGGGGAGGTGTACGGGGCGAGACCTAAAAACCAACACAAAACCAGTTGTAAAACCAAGGCAAAAATAAATGTAGGGATCATCAGGCCTTTTGCATACTACATCTGAGTTAGTAGGATTAAGTGCTACCCAAGTAATTGCACTGAGAAGCTCCTCTGTTGTCTTGGGGTTTGCCTAGAACACACTGGATTTTTGTCTATTTTTAAACAGAAAACATTCCTTAATACAGACAGTGCTGAAGACACAAAGACAAAACCTGTAAATGGTGAAGCTGCGTAATTGTAATGGTTGTTGCTGAAATTTGACTGTGCCAATGGCGGGTTCACCCACATTTTTGTAGCATTTTTTGTGTTTCCAGGGAAAAATTATCTTTGTATTTGAATGGCATGATGAGCTCCAAGGCACAGTACCATTCACAAGGCTCAAAATAATGGCTGTTGGTTGGGGAGTATTTGGTTACTGATGGATCCCAAAGAAAATATTTCATTTTAGTGCATAAGAAGAAGAGGGGAGACTTACAATGTTCTTGAAGAAGTGGACTACAGGGTTGTCGTCACCAGGCCGGCCATGCTGAGATCTCTGGGGGATGGACCCTACGTGGTGGCTGGCCCTGGCCACGTGTATATCCTGAAAAGCAGAACAGGCGCATCACCAAGTCAGCTCGGAAGGAAGATAGCGACTGTGTGAAGACAAGTCATTTTCACCAGGAGTGAAGAGAAGACAAAAATGCCTTGGAAATGTACAGAGATTGCAACCTAAAGTTGTCGGTACTGTGAAGGAACAATTTTTTAATACAATGGCAAATACAGAGTATGTATACGTACATATGTTGTGCATATATATATATGGGTGTACCTGGTTTTAGTTACAGCCCAGTGTGGAATTAAACCTGTTACTGGAAAGTTCTGATAACAGAAACCTTGTAATTTTTCCTTCTTTCTTAAGTAGGACTGTAGAATGTCATTTTAGAAATGAAACCTGAAATGGAGAAAAACTTAAAATTATGTTGGGTCATTCTCTGTGTGAGAGCAGGAAAGGATCATGTGTCATTACTCAGTTCCCAAAGACTACATAACAACGTTGCAAGAGCAATGGATTTTTTTGGAATGAGGGAATCAAATGAGACTGACGATACTTTTGATTTTCAGTAGGGCTTCCTGAGCAATACAGGAAGAAGTCCAGTAAGCAAAGGGAAAATAAATAACAAAACCAAAACATTGTGAGGAGTGAATACCTTGACTGGTACTTGGAGCGTGATGCATCTGTTGCAGTGAAAATCGTGTCAAAAATTCAGTGTAGTTACTGCTATGTGGATGCAGTATGACAGAGTTTAAAAAAACCTGTTCCATATGACTGACCGATTACAGGCATCTGCCCATCATTGCAAGTGTAGAGGCACGAGGCTCCACGCTCAATGCAAGAGATCTCAAGTATGTTCAAAGGGTAACAGAGAAGGTAGGAGAGAATAAAAATAACAGCAGTGCTGCAATGGTTCTCTTAGTGTAATGAATTCCTTGAAAGTACAGTGATGCTATAGGCATCATGGGGATACTAAAAATTTTCATTGACTTCTAAAGATGAAATAGAAATCTGTAGTGAGACAGTATCTCACATAAGCACTTCCCTCATATCACAAATTATGTAATTCTGAGGAGAAATGAAATTCAAATATATCGTTTAGAAGATGAATTTTCTTAGGGTAAAATGTGAGCCAGTGCAGAGAAGTTCAGCTGGTATTTATCAACATAATTTTTTGCGTGCCAATGGTACTCAGAGATTTACTGTTTAAAAACCAGGAATTTCTGAATTTTATTGGATCTGACAGATTTTTATAGTGTCAAGCAGTCAGTCCTGTTTATACTTCTGCAGCAGGTTCTACTTTGTCACTAGTTCCACTGTTGCCAAAATACCCCCTGCTGTGGTGATTAGGAAGAGGGAGCCAGTAAGGTGTCAATGCTTGTTTAGAACAAGTTACTTCAGCCCAGTGGTTGTCTTTTTAATCCATGTTCAAATGAAGCACTGCATTGCTTTGTCTTTGGGATAAATACCTGAATAAATACCCAGGTGTGGCAAACAGCCATCTTTAGCAGCAGGAACTGGTTGCTATCTAACTGCAAAACTATAGCAGTACGTCAAGCAGAAAACTTCAAAATCAGATTTCGTTGCACATGGGCTGCAGTGAGCTATGGCTTGGCACCAGGAAGTTATCCCAGAGAAGGGGGGATAATAGTTTCTTACAGTTTAGATGAGGTTGAGTTTCCTGAAGTTAGCATTCTGGTCAATTGTTAGGTGTTAATAACTTGGCTTATTAAAATGGTTATTGTGTAGTAAGTACAACTTTCTTCTGTCTGTGGTGCACATGTCAACATAGTCTTTGACTGAGTCCCCTTTTAAAGCTTATCGGGTAGTAGCAAGTCTGAAGCCATTTTTAATGATGGTTCTGTGTGAGTTTAATACAGTAGTTTTCCAACGTTTCGAATGAAGTCCTTTCCTTTCATACTGTCATCAGCAAGCTTCATTTACAGTCAGGATCTTTGATATTATTCTCAATTTGTGGCAGTTAATTAGATGTTTCCCTTGAATTTACTGTTAGAATTAATCTTTCACCTGTAGTTTGTTCTTTCAGTTTTTGGAGTTCTGGGGCAGGGGGTGAAATCCAGTGGCTTTTTTTCTGAGATTGCTCATACTCATTATTTATGAAAATAATTTCCCTCAGAAGAGTAATAACTAATATCTATAGGTGTTAAATGTTAAATTCAAATGGATTCAGGCAGTGTTTTGCTGAATGAAAGAGAAAACAAATCTGGTTTATTCTTTTAGGATGGGCTACTAAGGCGGTGTTTCATAATAGGACTTTTTTGAGTGAGCTTATCTAATCACTACTTATTTCACTCATCCATTCAGAAGACCACCATTTATCTTTATGCTTTTAGTGCTTCGGGGGGAAAAAAAGCATTGACCTTAAAACCTACAGGAATACAGCAGAGCAACCGTGTTGTAGGAATGGGTGACATTTACTTGTTTCTTTGCATTACGGGTCTCTATCGCCCAGCAGCTGCAGTGAGCTTTCCCCCTGCACCTGTTGTGATGTTGTTGTGAATTTCAGTCTTAGGAGCATTGCCAATACAAAGCAAGTTTGGCTTCCACATCTATAAGGTATAAAATGTACTCACAAAGTATAATCTTGAATTCAGAGCCCTTGGGTACTGTTTGTCAATTTGGAAACAGAGGTCCCACTGTTTGTGCCCTTAAAAAAAAAAAAAAACAAAACTAAAAAAATTACAGCTTCTAGGGTAACTGAATAGTTTGTAGTCACAAGCAGTCTTTCTTTCAAAAAAAATAAGGCAGAGGAGAACACTCAGGTTTTCACTGTTCCCAGTTAACTTTTTGTTTTACCTTAATAAAGGATCCCTACTAAGTCAACTTGGCTGTACATTCAAAAAAGCCAAAAAGGAAAGATCCCTGAATCTGAACAATCTTAATTATTGGGAAATGTGTGCCAGTACTGGAAGTTTAAGCAGTATCTGGGAGATCTAATGACACGGAGTCTGCAACTTCACTGTGAAATGAATAGCTTTCAGGATTAATAATGTAAATAAGAACACTTTAAAATGTATGTAAAATACCCACAGTTATTCTGTAATGGGGAGGGATTCAGCATTGGAATCCGTTGTAGCTCTTTCTGGTGATGCACAGGAAAGTTGCATTATTTCACTGTGCCACCTACCTTACGCATTTTAGCCACTAAGACAAAAGAAGAAAAGAGAGTAAGTTTCAATGTAGTACAAAGAATACATACAGGTATTTTGTCTTAACAGTAGCTATACACTGGCATTGCATCTCTGTGTTAGCCATGTACCTTCACATCACACTAATTAAGTTTACTGGCACAACCTCTATTAATATTTTGAAAGAGCTGCTGGAAAAAAAAATGCCATTTCTCTAAGCCAGTAAAAAGAATCCCTATGTAATTGTGTATGTGCTCCATTTTGGGTTTTGTGCAAGATTATTGCATTTCCAGTTGAGGTGGAGATACCTCAGTATGTGCTCTCCAGTGTTGTGAGACAGGAGGCTAAACCAAGGCATTTTCTGTGGCACTTAATAAGGGCTAAGGTGTGTTACAGTCTGTACCATAACTCTACAGGAGACTAGAGAAGAGGACTCTTGTGATTTTTGATAAATGGAGCAGGCCCTTCTGGTTTGTTACATTTGACACCCTGTTTGAGAATTAGGGTTTGTGATCATACATGTGTCTGACTTGAGCCATCGTAGGATTCGGGGGATTAAATTCATTTTCAGATAAACAGAATTACAGTTATGTATTCTATGTGTCCTGCTTGATTTTGTTTTCAGATTTGCTGCAGAAGTGTAAAAAATGTGCTTAAGCAGCAGCAGACATTTAGTGATATTATAAGATTCCATGAAATACATTTCTGACTTTGCTTGGTATAAACATGGTATGTTAGATCTTGCAGCTCATACTCATTAAGGGGGATTTAAAATGCATTTTATAAGCTCTCACTGAGAGCTCTCATCCTCCACAAGAGGACTGCTTATAACCAAAGATTGCATACACACGTAAATACAAAGTTAAACTCTAATTCCCAATCAGTAGGTGATACACATTAGTGACAATAATAGTATTTAGGTATTTTTTGACTTGGAGTACTGAATTTATAGTTTTTTCCAATTCCTTTCAGGATCATTATTGTGTGGTTTCATTGCCTGCTTTAGGATCATCACACGTCATTTCTATAATGGCAAAATCCAAATACATATGAAAACAGATGATTTAAAATGTAATCAAACCAAGTAAGCATTTTTGACGTTAGTAAGAATAAAAACCAATGGATGTTCTCATGGGCTCAATGGGTTTCATGGTTTCCAGTGGGTTGTCTTCAAAAAAGATACCTAATGAGTCGCTGTGCATGAATTTAAAAGAAATAATACAAAATCCCCAAATTTCTAATTCATATAGATATGAGAAGTACACTTAGATTGCCTCAGAAAACCAAACAGTTCCACAGGATGTAATGCTTAACTCCCCCTAAGACATGTGCACCCCTGCTGGTGGAAAAAAACCAGCCTTTAAGCATTAAGTGATGAGTCAGACCATTCGTGCTGCTTTCTGGGAAGAGCAGCAGGCAATTTGTAAGCCACTCAGCTGCTTTTGTGTTAGTGCTTGAAATGGACTCTGAATCCAAACTCTAAGAAAGTCCCTACCCAGGCTTGAATTTCCGATGTTGATACAATTTCACATGGCAGTTGAGAGATACATCCTCTCAATGAATATGTGCACCTCTTTTTTTAAAACAAGGAAATTTGTTATATACAGTTTGACCTGACCAATCATGGGAAAACCAACAGGTGCTTGTACACAGAAATTGCTTCATCTCAGGCTGTGGAGGTGCTTTATATGCGGGGCTTACACAGGGTTAGGGGTTCCTGGGTGCAGAGGTCGCTGTGTTGGAGCCTTCCAGTGTTACCAAGCAGCAACAGAATACAGCACACAGGTAGTGTGAGGATGTATTTTTCCATTCTGGTAGTAATATACCTGCTGTAAACATGCACTGCTAAACCAGAGCTACGTTAGACTGGTGGCGTTGCTTGCATTTTCATTCACGTGC